TTAATAATAATAATATATTATTATATATATATTATATATTAATTAATATATATACATATATATATTTTAATATATATATTATATTATATTATATATATTTATTATATTATAGTATATTATATATATATTATATAATATTATAAGTATACTTTATATATACTAGGTGTAATATATATATTTTATATTATATATCATATTATATATATATTATATATATACATTATATATATATTGTATATATATATATTATATATATATATTAATATTATTATATTATATATATATTATTATATATTATAATTATAGTTTATAAATATAGGTATATATAGTATCATATTATAAATGTATATAATTATATTATATATTATTATCTATTAATAATATATAGTATATATATTTATTACTAGTATTATATATATACTTGCATATATATAATATATAAAATATATATTTATTTATAGTATTATATATATATTATAATATATTTATATATATTAATATATATATATTTATATATATATATTATGATTATATTATATATTATAATTATAATTATATATATATAATTATATATTATTTATATATATTATGTATATTATATATAATGAGTATATATATATTATTATATATATAATATATATATATAGTTGATATATATATTATGTTATATATTTATTATATACTATATATATATATGTATATTTATATGTATACTTTATATAGAATTATTATATGATATAGAGTATTATATATATTATATTTAATATATATTTATTATATATATATATTATATATATATTATACTTATATATTATGATATGTTATATAATATTATATATAATATATCATATATATAGTAATATATATTATCATGTATTATAATATATATCATATATATATTAATATACAATTTATGTGATTCATCTAGATATATAACAGGGAGGTTATATGTATTTTAATATATATACTTATATGTATATTATAATATTTCATATATATATTAATATATATATCATATATATATTATATTACATATATTATATATAATATGTAT